ATGATATGCTATTCAATGTTTATTGAATTCCATGTATTTGCAATGGATGTTCCTAAAACAACACATTTAACATCATCATCATCATGCTGCTGCTGCTGCTAGTCCTTTGATAGTCACCTGTCGGTCTCCTGTCCTTTCTGAAAGCCATAAAGATGACATTAGTCATTTAGATAACGTGTGTCCTCAATTACCATGGGATTACTGAAACTATCATGAATTTAAGAAAATGGTAGAAATTAATCTAATCTGAATTTTAAAGCATTACTTTAGATCCCCTCCCTCTAAATATATCAATAAACATTAGAAAGTGATGCTCCTGACTACCATACAAGTTTAAGAAGATACTATTGGTTTTAAAGAATTCAAAGCTATAAATAAACAGCAACAGGCTCTTTAACCAAGGCACTGTTAGCCTAACATGTAAACTAGTTGTTCACACTAATCCTAATATTATCACATAATATTAGCAAATTCTATTTTATTTTTTAAAACATATTGATGTAAATACATACACATATCGATTTGTTGTATAAATATTGCAAATCAAAACCTTTATTCACTAATAATTACCAAAAATCGTAGTTCTATCTCCTGTTATCAATGCATTCACATTGCCCGCCATGAACTTCCGGGGAACGATCCTCGTCTACATGAACCACGTGACGATAACCGTTTTTGGACTTCCGTTGTCGTAACTCTTCTATCTATATGGCGCTGCACAAACCCATTCCCCAAAAACTTCAACCCAAAGGATGCAAAAAATAAATATATAAATTTAAATAACAAAAAATTCATTGATTAATTAAATATCAGATGACACATTTTTCAAAGTGAGTGTGTGGAGGTGTGACAAGTTTGTATTGTCCTTTTACACTCTGAAAACAGTCCAGTTTCATTTCAGAGTGCAATTCAAGTGAATATAGTTGTGTATGTATGTATGTTGTGTAGTTCAGTCCAACCAGTTCAGAGTATGTTGTGTGGGTGCAGCTTTGAGTGTAGTTTTTTTTTTTGGGTCTGATCGGTATGTGAACTGGGGACCCAGACTGAGCCACTGCTGCCCCTTCCTTTCCTGTTCTCTGTCTGCAGTTGAATGGGATCTCTTCCTCCACCACAGCTCAAAGGTGTGTCTAATTGTCTTGATTACCTTTCTCCAGCTCTCAGGTGTGGCTTGGTTAGCTGCTCCCCTTCAATCAGGGAAGGGATATTTCTTTATTTTTGTTTTTATTTAGTGGGAATGCTGATACAGCATTCCAAATATCTGTTATGCTACGCATGAAATTCTTTATTATTCCGCCGGGTTATTTTGTACCTCTTCTTCTCCCACATTCCACATCGCAGAAACTCAGTTTCAACATCAAAACGTTCAGCTCGGTCGGGAATCGATGGCTATTACTTTTCTTATTCATAACTTTCATAATTCCAGAGATACATCCCATAATTCATCACATTTTTAACATGGAAGTCAATGGAGAAACTTCAGACTTGAACAATCTTCATGCAACTTCAACTGCTAACTGATCCTTCATACTTTCACTCAGCAACCTCATTCCAACTTTAAAATGTTACACATCTTTCTGACATTATTCGTGTAACAGAACTTTTAAATCTGATTCGTACTTTTAGAGATATTAAACATTGTTCAGACCTTGGTAAAGAGGCCTTCTTCAGATTTTAGAGTGCGTGATGTCACAGCTAGAGTGGAGGACAGATTTAATTTTGCCTTCATATTTTCTTTTAAACCTGCCATAATTCCCAAACCCTACATTCTTGAGACATCATTTTTCATGAGAAACGTAGGAAAACATCTCGTAGCTTGAAAAATAAAAAAAATTAAGCAAAATAATTAAACAAAATGCCTCTTGAGGGCATGAAGTGACAAAAACTTTCATCATGTCTCCATTAAACCCCATTGTAAATGCAGCCTCATCTTTCCCCATCACAGCAGCCGCACACCTTTAGTTAATCTGCCAAAAAGGTCACATTATTAACCCAAAAGTACACAAAAAGTACACTTCAGATGCTCAAGTTCCTTGACATGCTTCATGCTTTGAAATTTCACCGATATCTGTTACGGTTCATCAACAAAACGTTCACATGTAAGAGGTTTATCTCTCATTCAGAACAATGACAATGCTCTCCTCTCACTGATTACTGCACATCACCATGGAATCCTTTGATCTGTGGACACGTCGTTAGCTCAAATATAAACACCTGTGTCATGGAACACGATGCTGCCATAGCTCCAACTGACATGCTCAGAGCAGCAGACTTCAGATAATAGGCTTGTTTGAGACACATTGCGGCTCGCCTCGAAAGTAGACAAGAGTAGCCGATCGCAGCCGGGGGAGGTGTCAAAAAGCTCGTCTTAAGTCGGACAGCTCGGAGTCGGAGTCGGCTTGACTGGCGGAAATTGCGTTGGCGTTTTTCGTTGCAGATGAAGTGGATGCAATAGAAATCCCACATGTATTGTATGGAGAATGGCATGATGAACACCGTCTGCGGAGGTAATTACGTATCTTTTTATTTTTTTATTTGATAGGGACAGAGCATGTTAATGAACATCAGTATAAAATACAAGAAGTATAAATGTGTTTGAGCAAACGTGCTAATTTACATCCGTAGTAGGCTACCTAGGCAGGTAACAAAAACAGATACACAATACAATACACAAGTAAAAAGACAAAATATATTGTTACATCAGTCTAAATTAAAAAGTATGATGGATTATCCGGACTGATTACTTTACTCTACAGATCACAAATTGTGCAAAATTATGACACTACTAGTCTTTTTTAGTCCAATGGGATAAGATAAAAGCTACTTTACTAAAGATATAGAAAGCAAGCAAGATAGTAGTACAAAGATACAATAAATAAACAAGAATACAACTGAAATCAAGTGAAGATAATATAGGCCTACAGCAGCAGCAGCAGTTATATATATATATAAAGAATGTTGAATAGGTCTAATGATTTATGGTCATCATTTGCTCCTGTGTCTGCCTTCCTTAGATCCGTTCCAAAGGTCCAACAATTTGTGGAAGAAGTGGTCCCACAGTACAGTCCTTCAGACTTCAAAAGTCATTTCCGATTGTCCAGGGGACATGTGGAAGTATGTGTGTGTGTATATATATATATATAAATAACATCAAATATGTATTATCTCGACTGGTGATATTAAAAGCCATTTATTCCTTTCTACCAAACAGGATGTGATGACGACTATTGGCCCGTTCTACTGGAACAGACAGCACAGTAAAGTGCCGCTTCAAAACAGTGTTCTTGCCTGTCTGTGGACTCTATCAAACCAGGAGTCCTATAGGGGGGTTGCTGATCGTTTCAATATCACCAAATCCACTGTCTGCCTGCATCTCCATGAATTCTGTAGTCTTGTCACCACATATTTGTCTCACCACATTTCCTGGCCCACAGGGCAAGCCCTACATAATTCTGAGTTAGGATTTCGTGCAGCAGGATTTCCCAACACTGTCTGTGCGGTAGATGGATGCCACATTCCTATTGTGAAACTACACTGTGAGAACCCAGTAGCATACATCAACAGAAAACAGTTTTATTCTGTTGTGCTTACTGGGTTCTGTGACAGTAAACGGAGATTCTGTCATGTTAATGTGGGCCACCCTGGTAGCTGGCATGATGCACAGGCATTCCGGTTGTCTGCTGTTGGAAGGCTGCTTGATGAAGATCCCCAGTCCCTGGTGCCTGAGGGAATGCACATCATTGGGGACTCTGCCTACCCACTATTGCCTCAGCTTATGAGGCCATACAGGGACAATGGCCATTTAACTGCTCGGCAGCGTCGTTTCAATCAAAAATTAAATGTTGCACGCGTGGTCATTGAGCATACCTTTGGCCTACTGAAAACGAAGTTCAGGAGGCTCAAATGTTTGTACATGAAAAACATTGCAAACATTAGCACAGCAGTCACTGCCTGTTGCATACTTCACAACATGTGCTTGGAGGAAGGGGAAGCAATTGAAGTTGATGAGCAGGTTGAAGCAGCAGATAACAGGGCACCGCATCCCCAGAACCAAGATGCAGTGTTGCACAGAAATCAGATTTGTGACCTTTTTTAAAGAGCTCACACCGCACCAGTGTCTCCAGTGCACTGGTCCTCCTCTCGGAGTGGGCCTCATACAGGTCGTAGAAGGAGGGATGGGAGACTCGAGACCGGATTGATCTCGGCTGAGTGGTGGGCAGGGTCATGGAGGGACCAGGCTGGCCCTCAGAGGCACACGGCAGTGTGGTGGGCAGGGTCATGGAGGGACCAGGCTGGGCCTCAGAGGCACACGTCAGTGTGGTGGGCAGGGTCATGGAGGGACCAGGCTGGGCCTCAGAGGCACACGGCAGTGTGGTGGATGGTTGTGAGGCAGTGGGTAATAGAGGGGTGGAAACAAGAGTGCCTGGAGGTGCGCTCCCAACACCGCACCTCCCAAACAGGTTGTCCATTATCTGTGGAATTGCAGAATTGTTAAAATGGAAATGTTGCTTTTACCAACTAGATGTGCAAGAACAAACTTCTTACCCCATAATATTCCCACGTTATGTTCCCCTCTCCTGTTGAGGTACAACGGTCCTTGGCCCTTTTGTAGGTGGTCAAAAGGTTGTTGAGTTTTTTCCGGATTTTGTCTGAGGAGAAACTGTATCCCTCCTTGCTGAACTGCCGTTGTAGAATTTTGTAAAAACCGGGTTTGGAGTGATAGTACACCTGTTGGTGTGTTTTTGTCAGGTCCAAAAGCAGCAGTATGGTGTTGTGTGTGAAATCTGTTAAGACACAAGTGTTAGTAACTCAAACAAATAGCATTTGCTGTTTAGATCCTCATTTTAGTTACTGTACCTTGTGTTGCCTCGAGGTGTTCTGACCGGCTGGAGGGGGATGCCAGGTGAGGAGTTCCAGCTTGGGATCTAGCAGGCCTTACAGGAGCAGGCCTTACAGGAGCAGGCCTTTCATCAGGAGCAGGCCTTTGTCAGGAGCAGGTCTTTCATCAGGAGCAGGCCTTTCGTCAGGAGCAGGTCTTTCATCAGGAGCAGGCCTTTCGTCAGGAGCAGGTCTTTCATCAGGAGCAGGCCTTTCAGGAGCAGGCCTAGCATCTGAAGACAGATCTAAAGGGACTGTGATTGAGAGAAAATTAAATATTTGTTTACAATAAACATGAATATGTCATTTGTTTGATTTGCATTAAAAGACAATACCATTTTTGATTTAAATGATAGATTACCTTGTGCATTTGTTGCAGCCCTTGCTTGCTGCATAAGTGCAGCTGCTAAACTGTTATCTGAAAAATAATTTACATCATTTAAAATCCTATCCAGATTGTTGGAATGCAATTTAGTTGTTTACTCACCATTTTGTAGTCTTTGGGAAATGTCTTGTGAGACTCTTACAGTGATGTCTCCCTGTTCGTCACACAGTGTAAGCACCACAAATTCCATTTTACCCACTGTAGACAAAGGTGATCTCCATTGCTTTATATAGGTTTGTTAATTCAGTTATGATGATGAACCACACCAGTGACTGGGTTCCATAATTAGAAATGCTCCTCCCTCTTAATGTTTGCAAAACTGATAGGTGGACAGGCTACAAATGATCAGTCCCTTCAGATCCGCACACATGAAGCTTAATGAGCATGAATTGAACAGACCTGCTGCTGTGTTAATTCTTTAGCTGCCACTTTAAGCTTTATGATGTGTACAACATGGATGTAATTTGATTTAATCTTGCCATTTTAAATGATGTATTCAATAAATAAGGTTAAACCAAATCATTACATTACAATAGATTTTATTTTAATGATTTGGTTTAACTTAAAGAGAAACTTTATTGTTATTGCACATATTACAGGTACTGAGACAACGAAATGCAGTTTAGCTTCTAACCAGGTGCAACAAGCAGTGAAGTGGAAAGTAATGTACACAATAGACAGAATAACATATAGAATGAATTGAATGATGAATAAACAGTGGGGTATGAATACACTAGATATCAGCCTGTGAGCAGTATGAACAGTGTGTATGAATATGCTAAGATATATAAAGTATGAAAACGGTAAGCAGTATAGTATAAAATATATAGATATTAATTTCATGATGATAAACATTGTGGAACAATGATGAAAAATGGGAATGGATGTGGCGACGTAAAACTGACACAAAACAACAACAAACTTTTGCCAGCCAATTGGAGAGTTTCATCAGCAGCACGTGGTAAAAACCACCAATGAGCGCTCAGCTCGAGATACCAGCGAGCCGTTTCCCATCAAGCATTTCGCTTCCGCAGCCCGTGGAGAGCAACTGCGCCAACTCGCCTCGCTCTCAAGGCTGCGGGCGTCTTTGTCCCGCGAAATTTCAAAGTCTCATGTGGGCGGGCCTCCAGAGCAAGTCGGACAAAATGACTAACCATCATGCAACGCACTAGCAAGACGTTGATCGCAACTGCGCAGGTCTGCGCAGGTCTTGCTTGTCTCAAACAAGCCTAATGGTCCTGCCCTCAACAGCTCTACGTCAATTATGGGGTGTCATCATGCCGTTTCCATGGAAACGCATCCCTTGCCATAAAACACTAACTAAACTGTCAAAAACAATAGGTATTTTGTATCGTACTCAGAACTCTTTATAACAGTCTATTTCTCCCTTACCTTTATTACTGCTCTGAAATATTGGGAAACACGTACTCAACAAATCTACAAAAAATAATAACATCTCAAGTATTACGAATAGTCTGTGGTGTTGGCAAATATGAACACACAACTCCCATATTTCCCAACTCAATCTATTCAAATGTGTTGATATAGTTAAGCTTAAAACAGTACTGATTATGCACAACATTTTCCATAACAAAATGCCTACTAACATTCAAAAGCAGTTCCAAACCACAGTCAGGAAATACCCAACTAGGTAACTGGTTGTGTAGCAAGACCTGTAGAACAATCATCAAATCACACAGCTTATCCATAATCAGAGTTAGAACGTGGAATGGACTTCACCCAGACCTTTCAAGTATTACAAGTCATCAACAATTCAAAACTAAAGTAAAAACAATTCTATTTGCAGATTACTCCAGCTAACAAATATTGGATTTTCCCAGTATTATTTATATATGCATTTACTTTTTTCCTTGCCTTAATTTGTATTTCATTTATTTATTTTTCTCCAGTTTTCTTTATTTTTTTGTACTCCTCAATTTCTATACGTTTTTGACGAAATAAATGCCATTGTTATATTGATGCCAATGATGATGCACGGGAGGGCTAATCCCCATAAGCTATGCTTCAGCCCTCCCGTGTTCATTTGTGTGTATGAATTATATGTTTTTGTATGAATTTAGTAGAATACATTTAAAAAAAAAAAACAACAACAAAAAACACGATGTTGCTATAACTCCAATGGACACGGTCCGATCGCCCCCCAAACTTCGCTTGTATATCACTGGTCCATGCCTCAACAGCTTTACGCCAAATCTGAGATCTCACCATAGGCTGTTGCCATGGAAACGCATCCCTCGCCGTAAAACACGATGTCGCTGTAGCTCCAATGGACACGGTCCGGTCGTCCCACAATCTTCACCTGTATATCACCTCTCCATGCCTCAACAGCGTTACGTCAAATCTGACATCTCACCATATGCCGTTTCCATGGAAACGCATCCCTTGCCATGAAACACGATGTTGTCGGAATGCCTATGAAAAGGGTCAAAACAGCACCACACTTCAGATAATGACGGTCCAGCCCTCAACAGCTCTACGCCAATGATGGGGTTTCATCATATGCCGTTTCATGGAAACGCATCCCTCGCCATAAAAGACGATGTCGCTATAACACCTATGAAAATGTTCAAAAAGTGCTCAAACTTCACATGTGTGTGCTAACAGTACAGCTGTGAAGACATCTATGGGACAGTTTTGAGATTTCTTGAAATGCCATTGCCATGGCAACACAATGCTCGTCTTGAAACACGGTTTTCTCATAACCTCAGTGAAAATACTCCAAACGGCCCAAAACTTCACAGGTTTGGTAACGATGCAGCCACTAAAGCGTATTATGGGATGTTATCAAATGCCATTGGCATGGCGAGAGATCATTCGCCATCAAGTTAGTTCAAAAGTTTGCAGTTCAAATATTCTGCTGCTTTTCCAAGCCTTTTTACTTTATTTTATTCTCTCATCACACATTCAAGCCCCTGGTGTTCATGTATCATTTCAATCTAAATTATTCACTTTCTTCTTACACATTACATTTCAGCATAGCAGTTTAGCGTCAGCTTTTCAGCATAAAGCATTCCCACTAGCAATGTCTTCAGTAATTGCATTCTCTAGTTTCCCTAGTCCTGCTACAGCTTTAGTTAACCCTTTGGAGTCGACCGTCACGCCGGCGTGATCAGATCACATGACCTGTTCAAGCCGGTGCCGCATAAAAACAACAGTCCGTACAGCATTGCCGTGTGTTTCTGTTGAAAGTACTGGCTTGAAACTATATCCCAGTCTTTGTTTCATGCAAAAAGACCCAGTAAACACGGACATACAATGATATAAAGTTAATACAGATATATTTAAAAAGTATGAATAATGGAAGCACATATTTTAATATCTTCGCCGTATTTTATCATTTTACGAAACGGAAAATACTGGAAACTGTAGATTCTGCTCAACAGGATGAATTTACCAGGGAGGGGGTGAGGTAATCAGGTAAACGGAGTGATACGAAGCGAGACGAAAAGAGACGAAGAGGGACGGTGGGAACCGAAGAGAGACGGCGGGAAATGGAGAGAGACGAAGATATACGAAGACAGGCGGCGGGACTCGGGAGACAAAGAGAGACGGCGGGAGACTGCGATTGAAGTAAAGTGACAGACAAACATTGAGAATTTAGATATAGTTAGATAGATTTAGAGTTTTGAAGATTCAACTATGATGAAGAGAACTCTGAACGTGAGTCAAGCTATAAGCTTGTTTTTTGACATGGAGGAGGAGGAGGAGCCTGTGATGTTGCCCTCTGTGTCGTAGTTGACAGAAACTGCTTTGAAGCGTGGCACAGATAAAGACAGAAAAAACAGATTTTTGTACATAATGTGTATATATATATATATTTCTATTATATTTATAATAACACTTTTGCCTTATCAGAATGAAATCACATGTACATTATTTAAGCTTTTAAATGTTTTGTTGTGCCTACTGTGTCACTGTTGACAGAACTTGAGAAATGAGGAAAAAAAGCCTATGGATACACCTGTTATTTGTTCATAAAATGTGTATATAGGTTCATGCTACCTCAATCAAACTTTCACATTATCATAGTGACATCCCATGTATATATTTCCAGCTTTCAAATGGTTTCGTTGTGTATGTTTGTGTTACCTATATGAAAAATAATATCATTTTCAAAATCTGTTTTTACGTTTTTTTTGTGATTTTGGGTCCAAAATGTTCATATAGTATCTCAAAATGACAGAAATAACTATCAGGTTATATAGGTGAGGTTGTCCTTAAAAAGGACCAAACATTGACATGCCAAACATTTCTTAATGGGGTTTAGTAAGACAAATCAAAAGTATGCGAAAACGGCCAAATTAGCCCTGGACTCCAAAGGGTTAAGTGTCAGCTGAATGTAATGTAATCAGGTCACCAGTTTAATATGTAGAATATTGTATGTCCCTTAAAAAAGTCAAAAAAGCTCTCTAAAAAAAGTTAATTAGCTTGGTCATTAAATGGACAATAAATTCATAGTTCATTCAAAAGATACTTTTATCCTAGACACCTCTCTAATGTCTGTCTGCTAACTATTGTTCTTATTTTAAGCACCTTGTACACAAACAGGTGAGACAAGACTTAAAATGGATTGTGCAAAAAGTTATTATTCTTCAGTACCATCCTAAATGTTTGACCGCCCACTTCTTTCTTCCATCAGGTCTCCAGTTCAAATTGACTGCCTTTTTTGTGCCCTGTCAGATCTGAGTGAATACTTTGCTAAATGTTGTTATAACTTATATATTTTTGGTGTTTTCTAAGATTTCATGGTCTCTGTGCCTATCCAGATGTTCTTCTGGTGTCATTTCATAAAGTCATGCCATGCAGGCCTCTTCCCTCATGCATTGCAACATTTTCAACAGAGACCAGGCAGACCTATAGAAAACGAATACCATTGTTGGTTTGATTTATTACCAAACAGTGACATTTTGAATCCATTTTTTAAAGAGGAAGAATACATTGTCTGAGCCTCGCATTTGCATTTTAATGTTTGTGACTTGAGAGTGAAACACTGGAGGGTTGCCTGACCCATTTAAACATCCTTCTCTAAGAAGCACATGTAAGAGAAAACAAAAGCAGTGCTTGAAAATATAACAAGAATCTGCAGCAGCTCACTATTCCCACATGACCGGTACTACTGTTTCATTTGGTGACATGCCGCCACAGGCCAATGGCCATCAGGGTTGCAGTGAGGGCCGCCAAATGCTGAACATGGG